CGGACCTTTTCAAGCTCGTTTCACTGATGAGCCGAAGCTCTCGCAGCTGCGCCAGGCAGCGGCAAATGATCAGCGAAACAACGCCTGTATGGACTTTTAGCTGGCACTTATGCGGCCAGGTAAGGTAAATAATCAGTTACTTAGTTCAACAGGCTTTCTTCAGCCACATTCCTTCCCAAAAGTTTTTCCAGCCAGCCACATCTTCCTAAACAGCAAATAAGAGTGGTGACGACGGCTAATAAGCCAGAAATGGTCATTCCAGTCTGCCTTGCCTTTGTCGGTAACGTCATTCTGCCTATATCATGCGCCGCTGTGCGGCTGCTGGTTGGACTCGAGAGAGAGCCCATAAAGCACAACGGAACGAGTGAGTTCCGTAAGAAAGATCGGTGAGCATCGCCTACCATAGTATATTCCCGATTGAAACGGACAAGGCAACGGGCTCGTGGCCCAGTGGTTAGAGGTGTGGATTTCTAACTAACAGGTTGCGAGTTCGAACCTCGGGTGTTGCACACTTGGAGGTTGGGTATGACTGGCTGACGATGGCAAATAAGCCAGAAATGGCCATTCCAGTCTCCCTTGCCTTTGTCGGCAATGCAATTCCCCAAATAAGAGTACCGCTAATGATGTTAGCACTTCATACGGAAGTGAGTCGTCATTGACTAAGTAAATTCGAAAGTGTTGCATCTGCAAGAGAAGTTCAGTGCTGCTTGATATAAAGCATAGCAAAATAGTGCAACCTTAGGTAATTTTGTTTGGAAATGCGTTTATTGAAGCGATTTCTTCAGGCCAGTAAATTGATTGATTTTCGTAAAGTCGTGCGAACCGTATTTTTAGAGGGTGTAGTCGTGATTTTGCATGCACATAAACCTGCCAAAGTACGAGACATGCACTTTCCGTGATAGCACTGAGACAGATATGCGACTTCATGAAAAGTTGCCCTAATTTGCAAGAAAAATCACAAACCCTGTGTATTTTTGTAATTCTGCCGGCCGTTTTGCAACTGCGACAGTGAGCAAATACACATGAACTATCGACAGTTATCCTTAATATATCTTCAAGCAAAAATACACTAATCAGCTACCATTCCAAAACCGTAAATAACAGGACAGCGTTTCATGCAAACTCGCAGCCGCGGGATTCAAGCCTTGATTAGATACTTTTCCGACACCTCTCTTCCAGCTACGATGACGGTAACATTGTTTGAGGAATATGCAGTTTTTAAATGTTAATTTTGCTGTCAAGCCCATTGTTTTTCCTACAAAATGAACAAAGAGCTTTCTACAGTCTGCACACTTTCTCGAACGGCTTTTCTTTGCCAATCTTTGTGTTTGGATTTTTTCGCTACAATAAATGCCAGTTATTAATTTTTACCGGAGACTACAGAGCTAAGAACTCTACACAGCAGCTGTTAAGTCCGCCGAAAAGACATCAGGTTCACAATCTATTTTTCCTTACAAGGCAGACGAAGCAAAACAGAAAACGCCTACTTGGATGTCTAATTTGACTTTCTACAAACGAATCGTTAAATCATATAATTGGACTATCTGTATTAGTGCCTTATTCACCGGAATAATACCCGAAAACGATCATGTGATAGGAGTGTCCTGCGGAATTATTGCATGATTCACTAAGACTATAAATTGTTGACTGTGACCATGCGAACACCAGTTGGCACTCCCCTACTGCACTAACGGGGAACTTATATCTTCAGCCTTCAACAATGGCATAGTCATTTCTAAACTTTGTCCAAGTTTCTGACGGGATTAACCAGACTACATATCGCTCACTTGCCTCCATTGTCCAATAACACTTCGTTTCTCATTTCTATTCAATCTTGGCCTCCTCCGCGGATACCGTCGTCATGACAAAATACACACAGTAGATAACGTCGTCCAAACCGAAAATTGCCGTCCAAAGTATGGGCATCGAACTGGTCGGGCAGTTGCGAATACAAAGCGCTTATAATAGCGTACCGGTGCTAGAAGTCCCAGTATACACTCGTCGTACCCGCGTCGCTGCCCAGAAATATTCGGTCATCCCACAGGCCCGTTCGGCCATATGCGTCCCCACGCAAATCTCCGAAAAAATTGCACTCTAAACCCCATCACCGCACCTTGGCTTACCTGCTCCTACAGACATTCCTAGGGCACACATGGCCTGCCTCCCCAAAACCACGTACCACATTCCGTAAAAATTATACTTGATCCCACATCAAGCAAGTGATGCCCTTCGCTGGCCCCAATATGACAGAAGCAATGCCACATGCCATAATACGAACATCTGACGTAGGTGGAAAGCCTGTTCTTAGATGTTTCTTGGCCTATGACGCTGTGATCAGGTCGTGTGCGACACACGTCTACGGCTTGTCTAACTTTGTTAATCACTGCGTCCGAGCCCAGCCGCGGATCGTCTCGACATGGGTTTAACATTCGCACGTGGTGGGCGAGAGAGCGGAGACGCAGCGTAATTCTGCCAAACTGACAGACAGTTTGACCATCGTGATCGACGTTGTCCGTTGCGTGCTGCACAGCAGGTTCAGAGCAGCGACGGTAACTTGCGCGTGAATTCGTCATTAGCGATAGTAGGCTTTCGCTGCATCTAAAACACTGTCCGCACCTCTCAAATCTGAACCCGGAGTCATAACAAAATCAAGAAGACCGGAGATGGAAGAGGGTACACTTAGGCCTACCACCACACCTCCTGGTCCGCAACGTATAATGACGAGGATTTTAAATAACAAGAAAAAAACCGGGCCGTTCGGATCCCGACTGGCGCGGCCTGGTCATGCACCTGGGCGTGTGGCTCCTCCCCAAGTGTTGAGATCTTTTATGGGTGCGCATTTCCAATAACGCCTATCAGACCCCGATCTAGCCTCTATGTTGGACCAGCGCATCTACTGCGTGGTTCGTTCTAGAGGCAATTCTGCCTAACTATAAATAATTCACGCGCAAATCGCTGGTGCTGTGCCCACTCCATGAGTCATCGTTTGCGACGGTCAGTATGTCACAGGACACATGAATACTTGCGTCAAACTTCGGTCCAGTTGTCCGGATTACCCCGAGACTAACAAAAAACCTTTAACTCTTTGCCCGCAGACATAACACTTTGGCGAGCAGCATCATCCCCTCACCTCCCAAATCACCAGCTTACAGTCAATGCGTAATTTGAACTGCATGCAAAATAAGAATGGCTTTAAAAAAACGTTCTCCCATGGCCTTCAGCAGAGCAAGTAAACGTGGTTGAGCGGAATACAGTATAAACTTGGCGAAAGTAGAGGGGTCGACAAGATAAAGATTCCCAATCAAAAGTCACGGAAGACGGAGGGATTTGGACAACTTTTACTGCCTGCGGAAGTACGTACACAAGGGCTCTGTAGGCAGACGCCGCGAGCGCGTCCCAAGCAAGCTGTTGTCTGTGTCCGCCTTCGAGGTGTTGTGTCCCAGCGCGTGTGTGCGCTTTTCGTTGTCTCCGCGTCCGCCAGCCAATCAGAGCGAGGACAGCGTTGATTGGATTCGAGCGCTCGCGAGGCTAGTGACATGCCTCGCGCGTCCCAGCAGCGTATCGACAAGGAGTGGTAGGTGGACAGGAAAGCAGTGTGGCAGGGGCGGAGGGCGAGGAGACGCGAACTGCCACAGTACCCCCGGCTGGACCGAAGGCGGCGCGTAGCGATGCCGAAGGAACTGTTGATGTCGAAAAGCATGAGTAACTAAACGGTCGTTTGACTTTTGATTGCTAATTCTTTCATAACTCTGGTCTTATCCTGATATTCATAGTCTGGGATTGACGTTTCTGTCTTTAGCGCTCTCAACAAAGTCATTGACTGTGATATTCTGAACATGAATTCTCCATTCATCACGACTGAGATCGCACCTGGGATCGCCTTCCCACCTAATGCGTGTTCATAAACGCGCCGTTTCTCCTCAGTCAGCGGAAAGTACGAAGAACCATTCGCAATGAAGCGACCTTTTTAGAGTGAGTCAAATATGTGGTAGAATGCATTCACTTAGATTTGGGTGTGGCTTCGCCCCTCAATCAGAATCCACTATACACAGAAGACGCATGCTGTTCTTTCTACGAGAGAATACTTTAACTTGTACGCTAGAGGGAAGTGAACCCCAGTAGCCCGCAAGATGACAGAAGCAAAATAAAATTATTGCCGTCTTTGGACAGTCAGTTAATCCTGTTGAGTAAGTCACACAAGTTTACGTGCACCATGACAGTCAAAATAAATTGAGGAAGTCTACGGATCCGGTCATCAAAATAGGAGAAAAGAGCGCTTTGAAATCCGTCACAAACTCTTGGTCTACAATGCCAAGTAAGTGGATGTTCACGAAGTATTCGGAATGGATGCTAGGGTACCAGTAGCTACTCGGTCACTACGGCAAAGCATCAAAGCCCTGGTGTAAGCAAAAGCCAAATGATTAGAGAACAAACCCATCTGGGAGACATTCACGCGGACTCAGGTAACATCGCGTTCAAACAAAAAGCGCCCAGGTAAATCACCGCATTGGCCTCCGCTGTCCAGACTGCACCCGCACATTCACTCACCGCATGGGTTTATTCGGTCACATGCGTATTCACAAGAACGGGATTGACCGCAGTATCGACATACCTAACACCTCCTGCACGTCCACCAGGCCTACCTCAACACACACCTCGTCATACCACGCGTCTACCATCAACAAATCCACTACTGCCACCATCTCCGAAACCGACACTGACACCACCGACTTCTCCTGTCCACACTGTCCCCGTAAATTCACCTCCCATATCGGCCTGGTCGGTCACTTGCGGATCCATCGCACAGAGACTAGCAAACCAGTGCCTGGAGCACCAACCTACGCTCGCCGCATCCGCCTCCAATGTTCCCATTGAACTCGCACATCCATCCACCGCATGGGCCTACTAGGCCACATTCGCATTCACGAGAACCTACGATGGACAACCGTCGACTACACCACACCATCACATCTTCCTTCACCTACATCACGCATCACCCATCACGCATCATCATCATCATCATCATCATCATCATCATCATCATCATCATCATCATCATCATCATCATCATCATCATCATCATCATCATCATCATCATCATCATCATCATCATCATCATCATCATCATCATCATCATCATCATCATCATCATCATCATCATCATCTATTGCAAGTATCCAATTGCCACTTCCCACGCCAGTAGGGAGTAAGAGTCTCGGTTCCGTCTCCATGAGGCTCCTCTTCTGCATGTGTGAGTCGAGTCTGAGACTATCACGGCGCGTCAAGCGCTGTGGTTGGGAAGGCTCCTGACTGACGTCCCAACTCAGGTCACGCAGTCTGCCCAGTTGTGTGTGTGTTTTTGTGTGGAGTGGCGGACTGGTGGGCTGAGAGTCAGGCTGGCTGAAGCGACGCCTTCTTAACGTGACCGATGGCACTCTCACGTGTGTGAGCTGCACGCCGCTCAACCTCCGTTGTGTGAAATCCTGGCGCTCGTGTTTGGGGGCAGGTCGTGCATGTGGCGCGCGCAGACAAGGTCACTAGATATGTCAACCACTCCGCCCATCCCCGCACCTGTCAAATGACCGGCCCAGATGGTGACTGAATCCTGGAAATGGGAATGGAGAGTGAGTCTGACGCCTCAGCGCATCTCCCCCACTATAAATGATCTGACGCGCTTAAAGCTATCACAGTGTGCTAAAAGCCGTGGCTTGGAAGGTCGCCATCTGACGGGATAACTTGGATTTCGAGTCGGCCCAGTGTTGTGTATTTGTGCGTGGAGCGGCCGATTGGTGGTCTAAGAGTCAGGCTGCAATGACTCCTTCTCAGTGTGGCCATTATGGCACTCCCACTCTGTGGGATCCGAGCTGGGTTTGACGACACGCCTAGGTGCGGCTTCTGCCGTGCCTGACACCCTTTCGTTGTTCGTCAAAAACCTGGTCATCTGCAATGTGGACCAGAGGACGTGGATTGGAGCGTCAAGTTGCGTGCTCGACCATGTCACCCACCCGCGTCCTCCCTCGCCTCCGGTCTTCTTGACACCGTGTCCAGGTGGGGGAGGAGGAGGGCGTGCGGTAGATGCTGTGCACGTCTACTTTCACTGTAAACTAAATCACGTACAAGTCACCGTCCCTGCCCTCGCCTTGCTGTGGAGCTCACGGTGGAAGTCGTCGGCAACTACGGTCGAACTATCAAGGTTAATTTACAACAAATCAATAATCCGGTTTGTCCCGAATTCGGAGGTCCGACAAAGCTTTCACTTAGTCAGATCCTGGTTTGCGCTGGTCTGTTCGAACGTGCCCTTCTTTCGTAAGTAGAGAGAGGAAGCTAGATACGTACGACTTACTGCAGATAACCAACGTTCCGGACACGTCAAAAATCCTCTCAAGGGTTGCACTTTTTGGTAAAATGAAGTCGCAGCTGCCACAACTTGGAGTGCTTCAAATCCAACCTGCCTATCAGAAGACGGAAGTCATGTAATCTAAGTTGCTGTTTTCACTATAGACCAATTAGACCACTGTCAGGCCTAATAATCACTGTAAACATACGGCAGTTTTTATCGATCTGTTGGAAACCCCTTCATAGGACGAGTCGAAGAAAAACACAAGCAAAATGTCAATGTTTCAGAGGAAACACAGAGTAATACTGCTGCTGTCAAAATGTGCAGACATTTGCATCTACCTGTATCCGGAACCGAAAGGTCGTGACCCATGCGAAATGTTTTCGAACTCCTGTGTCCTCCCATACTTCGACAGAAAAGTGCACTTACCAATAACAGCTTGTTAGTAAGGTCTATGTGTCGATGAGACGAGAGGAATGCCCATTTTCTCTTGTGTGAAGTACTCGACAATGAATAGGATCTGGTTCCGGCTAGGAGATATAAGAGTTCTTTTGTGTAAAGAAAATCGGCACAGACCGTTTCTGGCATGCCTCCTGACACCGGTCCAGACCGACACGTCTATTGCAATATTGTCTGGAAAATAGATCTGATTTTGTTTGGTGAACGAGGTGGTTGGTTGGTATTGATGATCTCTAGGCAACTGGCACATTTTATTCTGCCAAAAATTACTGCCGAGTAATGACCCCAAGCACAGTGAGGTGCTGGAATTTTGTGAGAGATTTATGACTTTCTGGGGTGTTGACGCAACAGATTTTATTCTGCTGAATTAAGAGCAGGTGTTGAAATCGCTTCTTCCATGTATTGAGTGCAAAAAAGAGGGTGACACCGTAAAGACTAAAGCTTGTTAGAAAGAACTGCACATTTTTTGAAATGCGATGAGATAAAGCACGGTACTCTGATAGAACATTTTATTCAAAATTTATTTCCAGTCTACGCACCGATAAGCCTATGAGTAAGGCGAATCGTGGACCTATTTTGAATATTATAATCCATCAATGTCATTCCGTCTACCAACGGTTCTCCCTCGAATATTAAATTCTGTTGATACCAGGGTGTCCCTTCCTTCGTTTGTATACTCCATTTCAGATTGTAAATTGTATCTGACGGATAGAGTTGGAAAGAATGTGTCTTTCCCGTAAAGCCGACGATATATATTTCCAGGGCATCCAATATCTTTGTAATTTCAGTGGACAAATAACGCATAACTGTGAGGGTGGATCCATACTTCAGCCCGCAAGATGCCAAAGTCTGACTTTCTTTCAAGAGTGCGCTGCCCAAAGCTAACTCGTGACTTTGCACAGGTAATCGGCACAGACGCCAGAGCTGTTCCTTTAGGCGAATTACAGGGTCATTTTCACGGGCCCAGAGAAGTACCGGAGGTCCTGAGGGCAGCGTGATGGTCACTCTAATATCCTTTGAGAAGCCTAACGGAAGACTGAGGAATAATGTCGAACCATCCTTTATGCCGTAGTCCTTCAGGAAGAGAGAATTTTCAAGAATTAGGCCATCATATGTCAGGGTTTGCTTATCCCCGGAACTCCTTTTTCCAGTTCTATGAATCCCTTAACAACAGCGATCTGGTGGTCTTCGTGCACTGTCATCTTAAAGTCGCCAAAACGCTTGCATCGGATGTGAAGCGTGCATGACATTTTTCATGCGAATGACTCGCGAGCTGTCTCCGATATGGCGCTTGAAGAAAACCACCAATCAGATCGCGGGCCTGCCTGCATCCCGCCGAATGCATTAACGCTGCCAGCTTATTGGAGCAAAATTGACCGATCCGCGATTAACATCATTGGTTGGCTGCAGTCATTTGGCGCGTTTTTGCAGCCTCATATCGCCAGCGTAAATGATCAACATGGAAAAATATCCTTAGGTTATTCATCCACTACAAACTTCACCCACCTGTTCATAAAACGGAGGAGATTCAGAGTGTGGGTTGGCCGACAACATCTATTATCTCGCTTACGACATTTACTTCAAGATCAGTTCAGTTTATTGAGAGAAATAGGCGTAAGCCTTTGAGTACCCTAATTGCAACGTAAAAAATGTGTGGTATACAGAAAAATGTTCTGGGCTGAAATAGTTTAAACGAGCCCATAATGGTAGGACAAAATGGGAACGAGTTACAAGGAGTGAGCTTGACTTCTCATCGCTCTTGGTCATTTCGGAACATAAATATGTCTAGGTTCTTTTTAAAACTTTGCATAGATGGTTGCATCACGACATCTGCGGGAAGGGCATTCCATAGTTCGACCACCCAAACAGAGAAGGAGAACTTACGCACATCCAGCCTTGCCTGCTGAGTGCGCAGTTTTAACGGGTGACCTCGGGGTTTGGTCGTGCCAGAAAATTCAAAAAAAGTCTTCGAAGACCAGGCTGCAATCCAACCCCTTTACAATGCGGAATGCTTGCAAGAAATCCCCGCGAAGTTGCCTGTAACTCAAAGGAAAGAGGTTCAGATTTATTGGGCGGGTTGCATAAGGAAAGGAGCTTTGAACCCTAACCACCTTCGTTGCTCCCCTCTGAACTCTTTCGAGGCAGTTTTGATCCTCAACGCCCACGGTCTCCAGGCTTCTATGCCGTACTCCAAATGCGGCGGGACGAATGTTCCGAATGTCTTAGAGAAAGCTTTTTCGTCAAAATCCATAAACGCACGCTGGATTGCGTACAGTACGGACATTGCGGTTTTTGCCACTCTCGAACAATGAGCGGATGGTTTTAGGGAACTCGTCGTCAGCACACCGAGGTCCTTTTGGGCGTCGACCTCTTGTAGGGCTGCACCGTCTAGAAAGTAGTCTCTTGTGTTAGCGGATCTGGCTGTGTTGCTTAGGCGAAGTATGCTACATTTACCAACGTTGAACAGCAGGAGCCAACGGTTTGACCAATCTTCCAACCGATTTAGGTTCACCTGCAGTCTCTCTTCGTCGGTAGGACCCCGAATTACAGTCCATATCTTCATGTCATCGGCAAGCATTGATAATTTGCAGTCTAAAGCTCTTGCGGCATCGTCCACGTATATAAGGAACAAAATGGGTCCCAATACTGAACCCTGGGGGACACCACTATCGACTATAGCAGGATCTGATTTCCCTTGACCGATGCACATAACCTGATGTCGACCCAAAAGGAAGTTTTCGATCCATTTAAGGAAGTTTCCACTGATCCATATTTTTTCAGTTTATGTAAGAGCCTCTGGTGTGGCACAGTGTCGAAAGCCCTCTGGAAGTCGATGAAGGCTATGTGGACTGCGTGCTTGTCGTCGAGAGCTCAGGTCCAGCTCTGGGAGAGATTGCAGCAAGTTTGTCGTGCAGGAACTTTCTTTCCGCAACCCATATTGGCATTTCGATAGCAGGCCTTGAAGTTCCAGGAATTGCATCAGTTCACTCTTTATGATCCTTTCCATAACTTTGCAGAGAATACATGTCAAGCTTACAGGCCTGTAGTTTGTCGTCGCTACCCTGCTACCTCCTTTGTATAGCGGAGTAATGTGCGGCAGCTTCCAATCGATAGGCAGTGTTCCAGTGTCAAATGACGTTTGAAAGAGCATCGACAAAGGCACAGAAAGCTCACTGGCAAGTTCCTTGAGAAGCTTGGATGGAATCTCGTCTGGTCCTGGCGACTTCCATTCGTTCAATGCCTCTACTTCTCTTTGGACAATGCCTTCTGAGAAGAGTATATCACTGACGCTTGGTTTCGGCAGTTCTTCTGTGGAGGGAGGAAGGAACCTTGCCTCGTTCGTGTAGACTGATTGGAAAAGCTTTATCCCTACTATTAGCAATCTCAACACCAGCAGTGGTCCTTATTACGGGGATTTGATGGCTGTTCCTTCTGCTTCGTCGGAGGTAGCTG